GTCTAAAAATAAATAAACATAAATAAACATAATAATCATAATATATAGTGTGTGTGGAGTTGTTCTTGGTCCTTTGCAGTACTGTATTTAGATGTACAGTAACGGATTTTTCCCCAAAATTCATTATGAAATCTACAGTAACATACTGTTAACCATGTTCACAGTATAGAAAAGTTGAAAATACATTATTTTACTGTGAAAACAACAATATATACAGTAACACACTGTGCACAGCTTATACAGTAAAAAACTGTTGAGAAATGCAGTATAATACTGTGAAAACAACAGAAATCGTTTACAGTGTGAGTTAAGACTGAAGATTATTATGAGTTTGACATATTCAAATATGACTCTGGACAATAAGACGTGTCTTATGTTGCACATGGATATTTGTGGGAAGAGTTAAAAATATGCTGAATAGGTTAAAATTATAGATCTTTCTTTTAGTCCAAAAATCATTAAAATATTAAATAAAGACCATGTTCCTTGAAAGTATTTAGTAATTGACCTGATTTAATTATATCAAAACTTGAAATTTTTTTTAATTAGTAATATGTATTGCTAACAACCTCATTTTCGTTAACTTAAAGGTGATTTTGTCAGCATTTTCTTTTGTTTGCCCCTGCACACTCCAGATTATTTAATAGTTGTATCCAGGTCAAAATAATCCAATCGTAAAAAAAACTATACATTAATGAAAAGCTTATTTATTCAGATGCCTAAATCTTAATTTTAGAAAAAGACACTAATAACTGACTTTGTGGTTTAGGGTCACAAATCCTAAATATACAGTTAAAGTCAAAATTATTAGCCCCCGTTTATTTTTTTTTTCCAATTTCTGTTTAATGGAGAGAAGATTTTTTTTTTCAACACATTTCTAAACATCATAGTTTTAATAACTAATTTCTAATTGCTGATCTACTTTATCTTTGTCATGGTGACAGTAAAATTATATTTTACCAGATATTTTTAAAGACACATCTATACAGTTTAAATTGACATTTAAAGGATTAGCTAGAAAACTATTTAAAGGAGGGGCTAATAATTCTGACTTCAACTATATTATGTAATAGATTATGTCCTATCCATTATGTGTTTACATACTGCATTACAATATGCTTCATATTCAGAAATCCTCCTACTCTACAGTGAGAAAGACTGAACTGAGGAAACACCTCTTTAAACTTTCAAATGGCACCTTCTAAGAATAGCTTCAGTTATAATCACTGAGAACAAGAGAGAGAGAGAGAAAGAGAGACAGAGTGCATTCATACACATGCATGATCATTTACACACACACACACACACACACACACACACACACACACACACACACACACACACACACACACACACACACACACACACACAAATATCAGAATGCTGAGATCAAACACCAAGACCCCTGTTACTGGAAGATCTTTTCTTTCATCTTCCTTTCTCCTATCGGTATCTCACTCCCAGCATTCTGAGAGCAGCATCATCCATTATTCAGTCTCTCTCTTTTTCTGACAATGGGTGATGAGGAGCCTCCATAATGAAAGAGTTTATGTGTAACGGAGATTAATAATAGGCAGAATGTTGTCGTGCTCTATGGGTTTGATTTTAACTGCTGCTGAAAGGACAGATCCTCAAGAGGAAGAGTGTGAAACATGCATAGAGGAAGAGAGAACGAGGAGAGTAAGAGTGCGACTTTGAGAAAGTATGAACTGAATATTAGATGAGGTTATCTGGCAATTAAAAATCCAGTTACAGTTAAAAATTGACTTACAGTGTGTCACCGTGCAGTTGCAATGCACAGACCTGAGTGCACCATATGCCATCAAGATTAAATGTCTGTTCAAATCTTTAGTCTTGGTATGATTTTTTGGAAAGAAATGGATAACTTGAACTTCCTAAGACAATGTTCACAATGTATTTTGATAATGATCAATTAAATCAATAACTCTTCTTTTACACTTTATATTTATGAATGACTGCTGAAAAAAATTAACGTAAAATATTATGCATTATAAATATTTTATTTTATTTTATTTTATTATAAAATAGTTACAATGAGGAACAATAAAGTCATGCATATATACAGATTATGATATGCTAGTAAAGACTAAAATGGCATTTTTAAAATACAAAAATATATAAATTAAAACATATAAATAAATAAAACAATTTAAACAATATATTAAAAGATATTCTTTGTATTGTATTTTTATAATCAAATTAGTAAGTATAACCATATAACATATATTTTGTGAAATTTTTAGCGTCAACTTTTGTCCATCAACAAGATAAAGATCAAATAAAATTTGTAGTTAAACCTTTTTTTTTATTAATTTAGCATTTTTTGTATTATTGATATATTTTACATTGAGTGTTTTGATGCATAAATCTGTAGCAAATAATGTCATGTGTTTTTTTGAGACATAGTGTTTAGTATTATTTTTTATTATATTATATTATATTATATTATATTATATTATATTATATTATATTTATTGTATTATACATTATATTATATTATATTATATTATATTATATTATATTATATTATATTATATTATATTATATTATTATATTAGCATCTATGTTTTATTACCTCGATACTGGCTTTCTGACCCAAAGAAAATGAAGATCATGGTTGAGAGTCTTCATTTCCAAGCACGACAAGTATTTGCATTTCACTGAGCAGCCACTAGATGGCACTATACATCTAGAATTACATTAGATGTTTGAAACTGGCAGCAACACCAAATTCCACCAATATACTATGTTTATAAAACAATTTGAGCTTATCCTCTTAAAATATACATTTATCGTACTTATTACAGACAAATAAATACATGTAAATACTAGTTAACGTTACAGCTAAAGAGAACTTTAAAAACTTTGTGTTAATACAAACAAATCCCATAAATTATACTTTTTTTTCAAACCTTCTAACAATAAGCGAAACTAATCGCTAGTTTGAGCCTCGGCTGGTTCAGTTGGCATTTCTGTGTGGAGTTTGTATGTTCTCCCATTGTTCGCGTGGGTTTCCTACGGGTGCTCCGCTATAGACATGCGCTATAGGTGAATTTAATAAGCTAATTTATTCGTAGTGTATGTGTATGAAAAGTGTGTGTGGGTGTTTCCCAGTGTTGGGTTGCAGCTGAAAGGGCACATCCATTGCGTAAAATATGCTGGATAAGTTGGCGGGCATTCCGATGTGGCGACCCAAATGTTTGGTGTAAAAATGTGTACACGGTTACATCTAATAAAATTTAAAGTGAAGTAAACGTTTTACAGTTTATCATATTAAGAGACAAAACTGACATTTTTAAGTAAATTTAAAGTAATTGTTTGTTGATTTTATTATGTTTGTCTACTATGGCAAGATTCTTATAATTAGACCTTAACCATACAATGTTGAAACTCAGCAGTATAGTATCTTAGTAACAGTTTAGAATAACGGTCCATTGTTAAATGTTAGCTCATGTACTCACTAACATTATCTAAGAATGAATAATCCTGTAAAGCTTTTATTGCTCATGGTTCACTACGATATCATATTTTAAAATTTAGTTCATGTGCGATGTAGCTGTGTGAACAGAAACAACACCTCTGAATGTAATACGCTCAAAGTTCGCTGCAAATGGAGACATTGGCTTTTACAGTGTTAGCTTAGCAAAGCCTACGGCAACGAAGTTTGGGAACTACAAAAAAATACATCCTGGCTAGAGAGATCACAAGCGCTTCAGGTTATGCGCATTTAACATGTGCACACACAGCAAAGAGGCATGGCCAGAGGCGCTGTAATGTTATAACATAGAGAGCTAAAATGCCGTCCAAACGCAAATATATAGCTAGCAATTGACAAAGGAGAACTTTCAGAATCTCTCCTAAGTTCAGTGCTGGATTCAGCTAAAAAACAGCTCCAACCATAATAGAAGAAGTGGATTGTGAGCCACAACCTCTAAGTATTTTATTTGTTTACATCAAGTATTTTAAGTATTTTATAAAATACATCAATTACATGGATCAATTCTAGCATTAACAATATGTTGTAGCAATGATGCAAACAAGGATGTAAACAATAATAAATGTTGTTTGGCATCGTTAACAATTTAGCTACACATTTATATTTATCTGTCAAACCACTGTAAACACCCACAATCTTCACCAGTGTCTCTCTATGCGGCTGCTTTCCCTGCGTTCTACATCTCAAATAACAAAGGATATGTGAACATTTCATATTACTTACACATGCTTATTCTGAATATATGTAAAAGACACTTGTCAGATTTTATTTTGGAGAGCAGGCGTGAGGTTTAGCTGTGTCCTCTTCATTTTATGTCTGATTCAGGCACAAACTGATAGGGCTAACAGCTACTCTGATTAACAGTGTTTAGGAGCCGACCAGCGAATCACAGCTCATTTAGTTAGCTGACCAATCAGAGCCTCTTGAAGGCGGGCTTTTGGAGGAACTAGTTAATATGATTGTCATTTTCATGTTATCTGAGTAGCTGTATATAATCAAAGTAAGATATGTGAAAAAATAATGTTATTTTCCACAAAAGAAGCATCATCATACATTGCTTTTCATCTTATAAACACAACCAAGCCTCAAAAATACACTCTGGACCATCCCTTTAACTAATGCACTATAAAAATTAAATGTACTGTCAGTTAACATAAACTAATTTGAACTAATGGTATTTAACTTAATATAAACTATGTTTAGCAAAGATGAATATATTACTAATTGTTTGTTAGTGTTAATAAAGACATTAATTAATGTATCATTATATATATATATATATATATATATATATATATATATATATATATATATATATATATATATATATATATATATATATATATTTTTTTTTTTTTTTTTTCTTCATAGCTTGGCAGGTGTTCATTTGAATGCAGTCCTCAAGAAGACTAAAATAAATTCTGTGTAGGGCTGTTTATGTGTGAAGATCTGTTATCTGTGCAGAACAAACTCATACACTCACCTTGGCCTCAGGGTCACTGTTAATGCTGCTGGAATCTTCCTCTTCCACAGGAGCAGGGTTTCTAAACACAGGCATATAGACAGTTTTACATCTCACTTCACTGCCATTTCATTCTCTCCCGTATATGTTTATTTATTCTCTTTCACAAACCGTAGCTTGAGGGAGGCGTAGCGGAGAGTTGCGCCTTCAAACTCTTTCAGACTGGGGTCAGGGTTTACTGTGGCCGCCTGTAGATCCTTGAGCAGAGATAAAGCAGGGTTTACTTAAAACACGAGCGCACAAACCCACCATGGAGAAAGTGGGCTGAGTGCTGAGATCTGTGTTTCATGGGCAGATCTTTCCAAACAAAATAGGAATATAAAGATCCTGCGATGAGTGATTGAAAACTGAATTGGAAATGATTACCAGTTTGAAAACAAACACAAGTTTAACCCTGTGCCTTTTAAAAAGGATACAATTAAAAGTATGAGCAGAAACAGAGTAATAATACATAGATTTAATGCAATATCACAGCAAAAATCATTTACTTATTCAGAACTATTCACTCAATCTAAATAAATAAACATTTCTAAGCGATTGTCTGATTTGTAAAAAATATATTTTTAATTCATTGTCAACTTTAAGATGGTAATCTAAATATAAAAGAATTCATGAGAATTTTTTAATAATGTTTTTAATTATATATATATATATATATCTATCTAACGCATTCACACTTGAAGTCCAGGTCTCTGTTTATCTGGTTCACTTAGAGTTCACATTGTTCCTGTTTTAAGGCAATGGACCAGGGGTCACCAATCTCGGCCCTGGAGGGCCGGTGTCCCTGCAGGGTTTAGCTCCAACTTGCCTCAACACACCTGCCTGGATGTTTCAAGTATACCTAGTAAGACCTTGATTAGCTTGTTTAGGTGTGTTTGATTAGGGTTGGAGCTAAAATCTGCAGGACACCGGCCCTCCAGGAACAAGTTTGGTGACCACTGCAATGGACCCTTTTCACAAGATGGTGATGGTTCATTTAAGGGTCATCAGCATCTTAATTCCTTGAATGTTTTTGATATCCTTGTGTACGTAAATGTATGTAAATTTATAAAGCTATACTATTTATATAGATTTTGCATCAAATTACAAAAAAAAGGAAAATAAATGTTAATAGCTATTGGTTACTAGGTAATTAGTTCAAGTTATAAGCTATTAAAATTATTATCTAATAAAGTTATTGTAACTAATAACCTGAACTTTTTTATTTTAATTGTAATGCAATAGTGTACACCTTTTGTAAAGCTGATTTGAAACAATAATTATTGTGAAAAGTGATATACAAATAAACTTGAACTGAAATATGCTAAATGTTTGTAATGCAGTGTCTATCAGTGGCACAGTTAATTTCCGACTGCCATTATAAACTTTTTTTTTTACTTTTTTTTTGTCTTAAACTTTTTTTTGCTTTTATCGAAAATCATGAAAACAGTATAATGAAGTTTTTTTTTATTACTTGAGCAAATAGGAATACAAGGAGTACTCTCCCGTTCACTGCCTTCTATGTTAACCCAACTATGATGACTTCTGCTCCTGAGATATTCAAAAATGTGAAAAGAGTCCATAGTTTTTATACTGTGTATTTTAAAAGGAACTTACCAGATATACAAAACAATACTTCAATTGCCAACATTTCAATTGAATCACAACAGAGTTTGTATGGAAGCGGACCAAGATCCATCATCTTATGCCTACGCCCACTAGTTTGGTGCGCATCAAAGTTTAGAGCTTAGCGTTCACAATTATGTAAGTGAACCACATTAACAGAGCAACCAAACCTGCCAAGTGTGAACAAATATGAACCCTAAAACTAATTTTGAGAGAATACATCTGTAGTTTTTGTCTTACATCAATATATTTCTTGTTAAGCATGACACTTACAAACTTCAGTTTATGCTTAAATCAACAAAAAAATTATGAAGGTGCTAGAAAGACTAATTTAGTTCTATAAATGATTTTTGCTTTGTAGATAGACAACAGAAGACAAAAGCCATGCTCAGAAGAAAGGTCAAAACGTAAGGAAGGTTTGACGGAGTACAGAACCTCAGAGCACACCTACACCAGTAGAACATTATGTTTGGTTATTTTTGCTTCAGTATGTTTGAGAATTTTTAATAATGCAGAAAAAAGTTGCAAAATAATATTTTATATATTTTTTTGTTTAATATTTGCTAATTATTTAGCAAAAGCGGCATTTTGAGTCTCAAAAAGGCTATACTAAGATAGTTAATGTTTGTAAGCACTGTCTCCTGAAACATTCTACTGTGTATTTGGCTCAGCAGTTCAATAAAAAAACCTGCCTGAGATACTAACCTTCCAGATCTCACTATCAATCTTTCCCACTGCAAAATCACTCCATGGCTGTTTCTGCGCCATTATTCACACAAACAAACAAACAGAAAAAAAGGAAGGACGAGGTTGAGGGGTCAGGGGTGGGAGTGTGGAGAGAGACAAGACAGGGTTGTTAGATCACTCCACAAGCGTGTGTGTGTGTGTGTGTGTGTGTACTGGATGTGTAGAGCTGCTGGATGTTGTTTGTTTGGTTAAGATTTGATTGGATGAAGTATGGATGTTGCAATCTTTTATGTTGCAAGAGTTGTATGATAACACAAGCTGTTTTCCACAACATTATTAGAGTAAACTGTTAGTTTTACCTTGTCCTCTTCCCGATGGCGAGCCTCTGAGTGTCTGTCCTTCCCTGGCATTATCTGTAGGGATGAGGAGCGAGGCTACACACACAAACATGCACAGTTTTAGATTTATCCAAATGAATGACCAGTCTCTGTCTATACATCACAACATATTTATATTCGAAAGTACAACATAGAGGCAACATTTGAAGTGGATCAAGTAGAATGTAAAACTATTGAACACCCTTTCTTGTCTTAGGACTATTCTGAAAAACTTTTTGATTGACTTTAAATGTTGACGACTGTATTTACTACAAAATATTATTTGAATAAAAAACAGCTTCCACAAATAAAAATCAGCAACTCTGTAATTAAGACTTCATTTATTTAAGTGTTTAATTATTTTCTTAACACAAAATCTGGAAATCATGAAAGATTCAAGAGCAAACTGGAGTAAAGGCTGCTGAAAATTCTGCTTACTAATATCTAACAGATATACATTTCGTCACCTTAGAATTATAAGGTTCTATCTGACATTTTTGTAAAAATTGAGTTTTTGACATATTCATATTAAATGACAACTTAATACTGGATATTTTTTAGAAGTTTTTAACATTTTAAAAGTATTTATTTAAAAACAAATGTTACACACATTCTGTTTGCTATATGGAATGCAAAAACTTTGAAGCTCAATATCCAAAATTAAAAATTATTCAGAACGCAGATAGAACCTTCCATAATTCCAAGGTGACGATATATATAAATCAATAAATATTAAATAGTTATTTTAATGTATAAAAATATTTATACTTTTTTTCACCAGTAGTGCAAAAGAAACTTATGAATGGTGTTTCAACAACATTTCAATATTTTTAACAACAACATTATTTATATTTTGATAACCATGCCTTAATATCTATTTTTTTAGATAAACCAATAAATCAGTGGTTCCTAACCTGTTTTGCCTAAGACTCCCTTTCCCCCCGGAAAATATTGTAAGGTCCCCCTCCACATTGAATGATATTATCGTTCATATAAGTTTGGAGTAGGTATGACAAAAAAAAAAATGTTGTTTTCGAACCAACGGTATGTTTATTACTACATCTAGATATGTTTACGCACAGATAATAGCCTAATGTAAAATATAAAAACCAATCATCAGTAGGTCATTTGTATTGGGTACACCTTGCAGTATTGGGGATGAGTTGCCTGCAAATGTGTTATTAATTTGGACGGCCTCATGCATTCGTTAGCAAGAACTTCGGCGCAGATAATGCTCTGTGGCTGGATCAGAGACTCTTTGCTTCAAGAAAGTAGAATAAAACCATAGTTTAGGTAACTATCTTGGTATTTCCTGCATTTCGTGTTTCCAGTATTGCTAGCACTGTGACCAGAAATGTTTGGAGCTTACTCACCTGGGTCCAGTGTTCTTGGGTCATTACTATTAACTGCAGAAGGCGAATCAGATATTTTTTTGTGGAGGACGAATTACAAATTTGTCAATTTTTTGGTCAGCCAGGAGATAAAATTAACTAAGGCAGCATGATCATTCTCCTAATTGTCCACTGCTAAAAAAATGTTTAAAATAGAGCTCACTGAGGTCTCCTTGTGGGCTGGTACCCCCTGTTGGGAACTACTACAATAAATTACACATGAAAACTACGTCTTAATAGACTTATTTCTCAACCAAGAAAAAATGGTTTCAACCAATAATTCCTACCTAACCTACTAACTTTAGGTTTTTTTTACAAAAGTAAAATTTGAATTTAAGTTTAAAAAGTCTCTTTTAAAGTATTTATTTGACAGTTGTAATAAATGCTGTATGTATCACTTTCCCATATTGAAAACAGAGAAAAGGATGTGAGGTGCTGTTAACCTCGTCTCGCACTAAAGCAGACAGCATATCTGTAAAGTAGACTAAGACTCAAAGGACCAAAAAGAGATCCAAACCCACTTATAAATAAGCCCAGAAGCAATTGAAATTCAAAAATAACTAGGCCATTAAGATTTATTGATATGCCTGTTTATTTTTTTTTCTTTCAGATAACTGAAATTACAGATATAAATTAAATAAGTGTGATAGATATATATTTTTTTTTACCAAGCTCTATTTAATCCATGGCAACTTATGCATAGTCACATATGTAACAGCAAGAACTCTGTTTCTTTTATAAACGATAACTTAATGCTAATGTGGTGTTTTATCAATTTTTCTACACAACTAAATCACTGTGAAATTCTACACACTCATTGTGAAAGCTCTGCACCCAAAGTATGGCAGGTTATGACCATAAAGTATTGCACATACACTGTAAAATGGGACACTGATAAAAAGAAAAAAAGAAAAAAAACTTACAAAGTAGCAGCTGTTGACGAATCCACAGGAAGGAACATTTGCGTCAGAGGATGAGGATGAGTTTGAGGACAGGATGGGGGTCGGGTCCAGACATGAAGAAGACGGGATGGGAGCGGGCTCAGACGAACTGTCAGAAGTGGTGCTGCCCGAACGACTCGACGCTCCAAAAAACACATCGGCATGAGACATCGACTAGATACAGAAAAAGTGATTGGTCAATGTGGATAAAACGTATTATTTTCTTAATCATGTGGCCTCAAATGGATCATACCTCATGATCTGGGGTGGGTGAAGGCGACAGGGAACCCAGTGAGTGTTTGCGGCTGGCATGGCTGGGTCCAGTTGGCACTGGATGGCATGGGGCTGGCCGCTCCCACTGTGTGGTGCCCGTTGGAATGTGCCAGTAATAAATACCAGCCATGTCTGTCATCATCTTCCATCCTGGAGGCAAATCAGGGTCTGTCTGAAATGACTGCTCGCCCCAGATATCTGTAAACACAAATATAGTAGGTCAACCAACATAGTCAAGACAAATGGCCGCTACAAAAAAAACACTAAGCATGCATTTATAATATGGTAATGTATATGCATTAAGTATGATATGTATATCATTTAGTTTTTCTAATCTGATTGGCTGAGCTACATTTCAAGAGTGTTAATGTTTGATATAACGATTTGGGGCATTCTACTTTTTTGTGGGATGGTCCAATATACATAATTGACAATTACTCTGATATTTTTAAAAAGACTAAACACTGACATGGTGTTAAAGGGTTGTTTTCAGTTTTAAAGGTATAACTCAATAGACTGCATCCAAGGTTTACCACACATATTTCCCTTTACCTCAGGAGTTATTCGAACAATAAACCCAATGATCCAATAGCTTGTTATCTGTCTACCTATAGAGACAAAACAATGCTGACAACTAATTTTGTCCATTCACAGTTTTCATTTAGAGAAAAATATTTTATTTATTATGCTCTTAGATCTTTTGTAAAAGTCTATCTTTTCCATTCACAAACAGCTATACTCTGCAAAACATGAGCACTATCATGTGCACATACAGTGCATTCGGAAAGTATGGCACTTCACTTTTTCCACATGTTTTTATGTTACAGCCTTATTCCAAAATGGATTCAATTCATTTATTACCTTAAACTTCTACCCACAATAGCCCATAATGACAAAGTGAAAAAAGATTTATTGAAATTGTTGCAAATTTAAAACAAAATAAATAACCTGAAAAATCCCATGTACTTAAGTATTCACAGCCTTTGTCGTGAAGCTCTTAATTGAGCTCAGGTACATTATGTTTTCAGTAATCAGTCTTGAGATTGGAGTTCACCTGTGGTAAATTCTGTTGACTGGACATGATTTGAAAAGGTATACACCTGTCTGCATAAGGTCTCAGGGTTGACAGTGCATGTCAAAGCACAAACCAAGCATGAAGACAAAGGACTTGTCTGTAGACCTCTGAGACAGGATTGTCTTGAGGTACAAGGCTGGGGAAGGTTACAGAAAAAATTCTGTAACCCTGGAAGCTCCAATGAGCACAGTGGCTTCCATCATTCGTAAGTGGAAGATGTTTGGAACCACCAGGACTCTTCCTAGGGCTGGCCGGCCATCTAAGAGAAATTCTGTTGGGTCACTATATTACACTAAAACCATTTCAGCATATGCCAAATGACATGCATTCATAATTTCTCGTATGTCTTGATTTGTTTGCGATATGTACGCAACATCGGTTATCTTTGTATAACAATGTCAAGTGTATTGTCCCTGTTAAATAAACAAGCAACAATTTTTTTTTAAATATATTACATTATTTAACATTTATTTGTCTCAGTGTAAAGATGTCCTGCTTTGTCAACTTTGTTATCAGTATTATGCTATTATTCACTATGGTACAAACAGTACAGCAAAATATCTATTCCTTACAAATTTCTAGCATGCTAATGACCAGCCAGTCTATGGACTGTTTACATGAGCCTTTCAAGTGTCAATCTTGCATAATTAAAGCTCCTGAAGCCAGATACTATTGGAATAATGAGTCTTTTTTATCTTGGTGCGTTTCTGTGATATATACGAGCAGTAAGATAGCTACTGAATACTCATTGTTAATACAACAGGGTTATAACGTTGAAGAAAATCAAACACCTGACAAATGCCATAATAATCATTTTGTGTAACATTAGTATGATAAAATAAAGTTTTTCTTTTATTAAAATGTGTTTTTTTTTATGAAAGTAGTATCGTAGTCTAAAATCGTATTCTCTCCCATGAACTTGCTACTGTTCTGTCTGTCCTCACTCAGCAGCTGGGAATGTTTGTTTCATGTTTCAGTTGTTAGTAAGGGCATTATTCACACAATGCAATCTGGGTGAGGAAAACCACACACACACACACACACACAAAGTAAACCACTGCAGTCTGTTACTCACACATATGCTGAACAGATTCAAACCAGGAAACACGTCCTCACCAAAACCATGGAGTCGTGACATTCAGTGTGTGTGTGTTTAAAACAGCTCTAAAGAAATTCTCAAAGGGGTTTTGTCAATGTGTGCATGATTAATGCAATCAGCACCTCCGAAAACTGAATATAGCAAATGACTGAAGTAAAACGATATCTGCAACAGTGTAATAAGGGGTTATGAAAGATGACATCTTCTAATTTGATGAACAGATGAGGTAGAATGAGTAGGCTGTCCAAGTGCTTCATATCTATCTATGATAAGGTTGACAAACAGCACACAGATGTTAAATGAATCTACTGAGATTCTAAATTGTTGACACCTGCTATGAGGTCACAAGGAACCATTAGACTCAAAAACACAATGACGGGAAATCTACAGTGCACATGCTTTAGGCAACACAAAGCTGTTCCTCATACATAAACTGGTCTTGTTTAACAATGCCAAAGTCATTTGTTTACTCAAAGGTCACACAGGTCAAAGGACCAAGTCCACAGGGTGGATGCAACATGTCCGGAAATCACTTTTGGGTAATTCCTTTCACAATGAAATCTTGTTGGTCCAAAATAAATCCAAATTCACAAAGCTGTATCATATACTGGCTGTACTTTTGCTTTCACTGTCATAAAAAAAACTTGGAAACTGCAAAACTTTGTAAACGTGTTTCATTAGACCTTCAACAGGTCAATCAAGTGCATTTGAGAGATAAGAACTTACTAAAATGATGCTTTTTGATCAACCAAAGGTGCAGTCACATTTACACATTTACAGTCATTTCAGTTGGTATGTTATCAGGACCTTCATTTAAAGGCAAAAGATTTTACGTTCAACATTTTGCATTGGGTTTGAGGTGGTCACACAGGTTTAATAGCTGCTTGGCTGACTTTTATTCATTCATTTATTTTCCTTCGGCTTAGTCCCTTTATTCATCACGGGTTGCCACAACGGAATGAACCGCCAACTTATCCAGCATATGTTTTTACACCGTGGATGCCCTTCCAGCTGCAACCCAGTACTGGGAAACATCCATACACACTAATTCACACACATACACTAAGGCTACTTTAGTTTATTAAATTCACCTGTATGGCATGCCTTTGGACAGTGCTAACCACCGTGTCGGCGTCTGACTTTAATCTTTTATAAATTGTAGCAACAACAACATATAAAAACTCATCTCTTCTCAGATCACCTGAACCTCTGTGAACAAAACCTTATCCCAAAACAATCCCAAAATGAGTGTGCCTCACACAGGCGAGTGGGCTTCACAAACCACCTGTAGAAACACTCTTCTTCCCCCTCCCCCTTACTCTAGCCCCTAATTCTCTGAGCCCTAACAGTTCCTTTGCATAGTAAGTATGTAATAAGTATATTGTAATAAGTATATTGTGTGTATTGCCTTTCCTTGTTGAATTGCTGAATGCCTCCTCAATTGTAAGTTGCTCTGGACAAAAGCGTCTGCTAAATTACTAAATATAAATGTAAGTTAATTGATAAAGAATTTAATTGAATTCATATCAGGGATATGTTGACCAATAAAGCTTTATACAATGTTTTAACAAGTATATACTTTTTGTCTTGATCATCTTCATTAAACAAATATTTTGGAACATAGAAAACATTTTAATTATAAATATTATTTTCTCTCGCAATAAACCAATATAAGTTTTGCCTTAAATGCTTCCGTTTGACACATAAGTTATTTTTAATGTACTAAGTCTGACGGCTTCTTCCCTCTGTTTTGTTGTTTCAAGTATTCCCTGTTGAATATAACTAAAAATATATATGCATGTATTATTAACAAATAATCTTATGTTTTGTCTTATTTGTGTTTAAATTGATGAACATGAACAAGCCATTTTCAACTGCTAGATATAGGCTAACAAGGCTAATAATAAGGCTCATTCAACTATCAAATGATGCCCCATCCCAAACTCAGTTGGACTGCACTGAGATCATTGGGTGGAGAGCAGGTGGTCTTTAGCAGCTGTTCGAAAGCATTTGACCTCATGCACATCTACAATATAAGCTTTTTAGACATGTTTCACAATGCCAAAGTTATTTATTTTACTCAAAGGACACACAGGTCAAAGGACCGTGTTCACAGGGGGGATGCAATATGTCCGGCAATCACTTCAAGATATGCAATGTCCAGTCTAAATTCTAGCTGACCAAAAGCCACAGAATTGTTTTAAATTACTTGTCTTGTTTGTAGACCAAATATCTACACTTTAAAGGGAAAATAGGATTATTTAATTTACCCCACTGGCAGATAATTACCTTAAAACAAGCCAAAAAACTCTTAATTTTCACTTATTTGTTTTGATAGAAGTAGTATATAGAAAGAAAAGCATTTGTTTGCATTGTGATTGTTGCATTGTGAATTTCTGTTACCACATACTGTTAGACTCCCCAGAAAATCGTCAAATAGTGCAATTGAAATCTGAAACTGTATTCATATCACCATGTTTAATACAGAAAAATAAAATAGCGCAATATCAGATTTTTCCAATATCGAGCAGCCCTAATGTCGACTCAACATCGGATGTCTGACTTTCAAGCGATGTAAAAATGCCATTGTCTATTGGCATAACCCTAATATCAGACAGTATCTGAAAGCTTATGTATAGAATTGTGAAATGCATTAATGCACAGTCCTAATTAAACCACAGTACCGGTGTCAGTGACTACGTTTACACGTTTTATGGACATCGGTAATCAAATTATTTGCCTTAATCTAATTAGGACAATAATATAATTAACCGCTTGCATGAGTTGCTTTTTGAATGTTCCTTTCATGATCCCGTTTTACATATTATAGCACATAATAATTAAATTAACGTCATTGCGTCCCCACGCTATCTGGATTTCCTCCGGAATTTCATGTCATTTTGGGCGTTTTTATTCTTAATTTGTCGAATTTAACTGCAGTTTGGCACTTTCACTTTCATTCTGGAACATTTCATGGATGCCCCCGTGATAAACGGCACATTGAATGCAACTATGAACTGCTGG